AGAATATGCAATGGAAAATGTAGGTTTTATTTAAAAACTTGAATGTGACATTCACGTGACTTTCAAACGACTATTTAAGGTCAAGCCAATTACACCATATTATGTCCCCCTCCGAGCCATACAATTTTTGTTTGAAATATTTTTCTGTATTTTCCATATTTTTCGAGATATTTTCCCGGCTTTATTAAAATGACTCATCCTGTATACATGGTGTTAGTAAAGTCAGGAAACGGTCGAATATCTCGAAAACAAACCATTTTAAAGAAAACTGTTTCAGATAAAAGTTGTTTGGTTCGAAGAGATCTATAAAACAGTGTAATTGGTTTGACCTTGAATAGTCATTTGAACGTCATATGAAAGTCACCTTCAATTTTTTAAATGGAAGACCCTATATGTTATTACGTATTCTTATGGCTTATCTGGAGAGCTTTCCAAAACACTATAATAAAATATTTTTTCGTTAAGAACTTTTTGAATAATAACACTTGAAATTTCCAGCACTTTGACAAAGAATACAAAATATCTCGTAAAATATTCATCTTTCGATTATCTTGCATGAATGCTTTTTTGTACAGAATAATGAGACAAATTAATTGGCTTTAAGAAAAACAAAAAATTTTTTATATAATAAAAATAAAAAAATTTTTTTGTGGTTTTTTATGCCAATTAATTTGTCTATTTTTTATTGCATTTTCTTATAATCTTTCTCAACACATTTTCAAAGTACTATAATTTTATTCATTTTAGGTCAGCCGTTTCAAAGTTATTGAGTATTTTACATTAAGTAATAGACACCCGAAAACAAGGTCGGAATATGATCCAGCCAACTAAGGCAAGATCGGAGGATGATCCAGCCAACTAAGGCTATTTTTGAATGATTTTTAACACTATCAATTTCTTCGCAACGTCTGATAGTTTTGTGAACGGTAGATTTCGAGATTTTTGTATTTTCATTCCGAAATATTGCATTGAGCTGCTTAACGTCATTGTATGACCTTAGTCTGTTTCCCCATCCTCTCATCATCAAAATAGATATTCGTTCACGTTCAATAAGGTGTAGCATTTTAAAAGCAACTAATAATAAGTAGCTGTGAAAACAACTGAGAGTGAATAACCGTGAAAACAACTGAGAGTGAGCAGCCGTGAAAACAGCTGAGAGTGAGTAGCCGTGAAAACAGCCGAGAGTGAGTAGCTGTGAAAACAACTGAGAGTGAGTAGCCATGAAAACAACTGAGAGTGAATATGACCCGGCCAACTAAGGAAAGATCGGAGGATATATATATATATATATATATATATATATATATATATATATATATATATATTAGGTGTACAACTTTGCTTCCGCCGTTTTTTTCCGAAATTCGAGGCTTTATTGTAAAAAATTGGTTATACATTTATGATTCAAAATATTGTCCATCGCTGGCCACTACTTTCTTTCATCTTTCAGGCAGCGTACAAATCCCGCGTAAAAAAAACTGGTCATCTTTTGAGGCGGTCCATGAATTGATCCAATTTCTTACTTTTTCATAAGACCGAAAATGCTGGTCAGCCAGGCCGTGTGCCATTGATCGAAACAAGTGACAGTCAGAGGGAGCAACGTCTGGAGAATACGGCGGGTGGGGTAGGATTTCCCATTTCAACGTTTCCAAGTATGTCTTGACCACTTTCGCAACATGGGGTCGAGCATTGTCATGCTGCAAAATCACTTTATCGTGTCTCTTGTTGTATTGTGGATGTTTGTTTTTCAATGATCGGCTCAAACGCATCAACTGCGTTCGATTCTGATCGCCTGTGATTGTTTCAGTCGGTTTTAATAGCTCATAATACACTACGCCACCAAATACAGAGCATGACCTGGAGCCGTGAATATTCGGTTTGGCCATCGACGTGGAAGCATGGCCGGGAACTCCTCATGTTTTTCTGCGTTTGGGGTTATCGTAATGAACCCATTTTTCGTCTCCAGTCACAATGCGATGCAGAAATCCTTTCCGTCTTTGCCTTTTAAGCAGCTGTTCACAAGCAAGCATACGCCGTTCAATATCTCTCGGTTTCAATTCGTACGGCACCCAATTTCCTTGCTTCTGAATCATTCCTATGGCTTTGAGGCGTTTTGAAATGGCTGAGTCGCTCCCAATAATCGTGCCAATTCTTCTTGATTTTGACGCGAGTCTTGATCAAGTAATGCCTCTAATTCTGCATTTTCAAAAACCTTCTCTCTTCCACTGCTATGCCGGTCTTCGACGTCTAAATCACCGTTCTTGAAGCGTTGAAATCACTCACGACACGTTCTTTCACTAATAGCAGCCTCACCATAAGTATTTGAGAGCATTCGATGAGCCCCAGCCGCAGATTTCTTCATATTGAAGTAGAAAATTAAAACCTCCCGCAAATGACGAGAATTTGGCTCGTAAACTGACATTTTTAATCGAGAATAACTTTATGATGCAGACACAAATCGACTAATGTTTCTATGGGGTTATGTTGACAGATGCC